TCATCTTTCCTTCCCCCTACTTGTACCAAGAATAAGCTTGTATCAGCCTTTACTTCCTAAGATAAGAAGAGCACAGCCCCACTAGTGTCAATGAAGTATTGACATACAGTTTAATGAGAAAGGAATACTCATTGGTTTTAAGGCACTAAAAGTTGGGGATAATTTGTTATGGCAACATAATTTTACCCATTTTAGTAATAAAAAGCCATCTTCAGAAATATTAATTTTTGAAAATACCGAAGATCCAAATCAGATCAGAGATACTTATTTGGGTGAATTCAGAGAACAATGTGAAACTGAGCAACTATCAGAAGCAAGAACTAATACTCAAGTAAGATGTAGTGGATAGTAGTTAGGCCTAAGGTACAAGTCAATTCTCACAAGGGATGTAAATGACTCGGTGGAGAAGTCAATCAGAATACCAGGATAGACACAGTGGGGGTCAAGATGAGCAGTGGATGTCTCTGTGGTTATGCAATCTCTGTGGGATTTGCAATTGTGTTAGTGGACTCACACTGTAAAAATTAGTCCAGTGTTTTTTTGTAAAATATATTTATTTACCTACTTGCTTATTTGAAGGAGAGAGAGAGAGAGAGAGAGAGAGTGGGAGAGAGAGGAATGACTCCAATGTGCAGTGCTGGACAAAGATGAAGTCATTAGCCAAGAACTCTGGTTCCCCCACATGATTGGTAGATGTTCAAGTACTTGGGCCATCACCTGTTAACTTCCCAGATTTCACAGGGGAAACAGGATTCGAAAAAGAGCAGCTTGTATTGAGACCAACATTTGATACACAGAGAGTTAATTAGCTACACCACATCTGCAGTCCAATATCCTTTAAAATGTCCTTCTTCCCGACTCAGGCTTTGCCCAAGCTTGTGGTTTACATTGGGAGTAATTGGTTTAGCCAGGACCTGAAATAAAGAGGTAACAATTGGTAGCATCTGATAATGTAGCAGTGTTTTTTTGCCTTCTAATGGGACATTTTCTAAGATGTTCAGATGTTCAGGAGGAATGGAATTAAAATATAAATTTATTTTGGGGCAGAAATGTGAACCCCATGCATGTCTGTATTTCCCAGATCAAATAATAGCTTATCAAAGAAATTACTGGCTATGTTTTTTTTTTTAAAAATTAGTATCCATCTCCTTTTCATGTAATTGGAAGAATGCAAGGGACTATCTAAATTTCAGACACACTGTTGGACCTGAAAACAACATATTGTTATGTGACTATCACTAATGTTGATTAAGTCTGAAATTGTTTCTCTAGATGAAACTGCCCAATTTTCTAGTTCATGATAACTCATTTCATCATATTTACGTAGATATAAAAATAATATAATCTTATGTGTGACAAAGTTTGATGTAATTTTGCAGTTGTTTTCACATTAAACATATTGAACCAAATACATTTTAGTTAACACTATATGTACATTCTTCTTGTTCAACATGATTGTAATTTTCTATTTTTGTGTAAATTTTCTCTCTTATGCTTTCCTTTGCTTCTGAACACACAAACATTTCTACAAAATCAAGAAAAATTTATGCAGATGTTATATAGATATGTTTTCAGATTGTTACCATGTTTATTCCCGAGTGATAAAATTACAATGTAGCAGAAGTATTAGGCTGTATGTTTTGCTTTGAACAATTAGTTTTTCTTTGTTTTATTTTTAAATAAACGGTTTTTTTAGGAACAAGGATTCTTCCCTCCTCATCTTCCTTTCTTTTTATCCCTCCTGAAATTTTCCACACATTTCAGAGAGGTATCTTCCTTAAGTAACAGTTTAACTTTCTGCTCTTCAATTGTATCATGACATTGTATGTACCGGCAAATGTGGAACACCTAGTATCATACTGCCAAGGTGTATTTAGCTATTTCGTGGAGTGAGATGAGTATTGCAATGTATCTTCCCTTTCTGGTATGCTAGTTTCTATGATAGAGTTCATGTATGAGAATACATGTATAAACTTGATCACCTATATATCAATTTATTTAAGATTTGATATCTGAGAGACTATGAAACACAGAAAAGGAGAAGATATGTCCCAGGCACCTTTTCCCTTGAATTTCATGTGAATTTTCTTTTCAAAATTCAAGGTTCAGAAACAATTCTACATAGATCCTGCATTATCAGACTGTTGACTGCAGATTGAATACTCATGGGTTTGCTCCAAAATGTATACTTTGTGTTGTTCCTATCTTTATTTTTCAAATTGTACTTCTGTTTATTATTATCATGTTATGATACAGCTCCATAGACCCTGGGATTTACCTTATCCCCTCCCATATTCCCTCCCCTTCACTGAGTTCACCTATATCATTACTAAAGTATAGTTCTTCATACACAGTCATATGTCCATCATTGCGGGCATGGACAATGGTAGATAGTCCAGCATCCTATTGTCAAAATCTAGTAAACAGTTTCATTGGGAGTCTATCTTTGTCTGAAAGTAGAGATGCATACTGCATTGTATCCTCACATTTGGATATGACAGTCTCGATTACACAGTTACTATAGATCCCCTTAAATGAAAAGCCATAATATAAAATCAACAACAGGGAAAAAAAAACCAGAAATTTACAATGCCATGAAATTAAATTACCTGCTGCTAGATATGCTAGTCTCCATTACACAGTTACTATACATCCCTTTAAATGAAAAGCCACAAAACAAAGTAAACAACAGGAAGAAAAATAAGAGGAAATTAACAGCACCATGAAGTTAAATGACATGCTACTGAATGGCTAATGTGTCACTGAAGAAATGAAAAACAAAATCAAAAACCTTCTCAAAGAAAATGAAGCTACTGTATGATCTATGATTCACTGAAAAGAAAGTGTTTGGAAGAAGTGAGACTAATTTAAAAAATCAAAATCCATGAGATATAGTTTCTGCTGATCTTTGTTGGTGAAATGTGTCTCCTCTAGGAAACAAATAGATGAGTTTTGTATTTTAATCCAGTCTACTAATCTATTAGTCTGCTAATCTATTACTAATCTTCATTTTTTAATTCCTTCTTTTCTCCTTTCTCATTTTTTCTTTGCCTGTACTTTAATCAGCTTTATTTTGCCATCCTTTTTCTTACTTTTAAGATGAAATTTTAATTTATTAAACTACTTTTATATATTTACTTATCTTTATTGGAAAGGCATATATGTGGAGAGAAGGAGATATAGAGAGAAGAATCTTTAGTCCACTGGCTCACTTCCCAAGTGACTGCAACACCTGGAGCTGAGCTGATCTGAAGCTAGGAGCCAAGAGTTTTTTCCGGGTCTGCCATGTGGGTATAGAGTCCTAAGGCATTGGGTCATCCTCAACTGCTTTCCCAGATCACAGGTAGGGAGTTGGATTCTTGCAAGGTGAGGACTTCAGCCAGAACGCTTCTCTGCAGGACTCTAATTATTAATATGTGTCTTTCAGCATCTCCAATGCATATATTTAAATATGTACATTTCCCTCTAAAATTTTTCTAGTTCTTCCTACAAGTTTAATATGCTGTCTTCAATGTTGTTGCATGCAAAATGTTTAAAGCTTTCAAAATAAGTTCTTTTAATGATGGGCTAGTTAAAGTAGCAGAGCCCAGTGAAGCACAGCATATGCTCACAAATACCAGTCCTATTCGTGATTTAAAACTTTGAACTTTGAAATGAATTATCTTTTGATTCTAAGGCTGCTCAGTGTGATACCTCTACACCAGGATCTTGAACACAGGTTTTTTCTGATTCCTATATTCTATTCCCATTTTACATATATTTTCACATTTCCTCCATTTTCCTGCCATTGAACTCTGTAACTTCACTCTGCTCCTAGTATAATCTAATCCTTACCTCTACTGTCCTAGAAGAATCATAATCCTCTGAAATTTAGCCAGTCTCAAACATTCAGAGTCAATATTGTGGAATGTTTAGATCCCTTTTATGTCTCAGAATAAAATATATGCATATATCACTTGTGTATGTATATAATGATATATAATTTATTTTACCAAGCTCATTAATTGATTCAGTCTCAAATTACAATTTATTTGTTATATTTTTGGCTAATCATAGAGCTTCCTGTATTTCAATTTCATAAACTTGCCTTTTTACTAGCAGGATATAACTCTGACAAGTTAAAAGTATTGATTTTCAAAAGTATGTAATGCATACACTTTCAGTCCTGGTCATGTCAAACACTATAATAAATTTGAAAAATAATGTTAATTTCCTAAATGTACTGGATTTTTTATCCTGGCCAGTTCTAATTTCAAAATGAAGACTCTTTATTATTCATGGGAATTTTGAACTGTTTCACTCTCCAGGGCCATTTGTAACAGCATAGTGACTGTATGAGAATTTGGACTAGTTTATTCCAGGCAACAAAAATGTGGCCTCAATAAAAAAGACACATAATAAAGATAAAATAAATGAAAAGTAAGTGACATTCTCTTTGGTACAAAATCAAGGAACTACAGGAAATATTGTGTTCGACAACTTTTAAAATATACTCAGTTTTCTTAAATTTGCAGAAGGATGACTCTTAGCTGGCCATCATTGCAGAATTTCTTCAGTATGCATCAGATGTTGACTGTACATATGTAATTCCCTAAAATCTTGTAACCACCAACAAGTTCTTTTACAACACTAAACAATGCTTAGATTGAAAATATCATCCAGGAGGAAATAAAATTTGTTGTCATAATGAGAATAAATTACAGCAACAACAACAATAAAAACAGAAAGAAGAAAAAGTGATTGAGGGGAGAGACTTTTGTGCTGAAAAAGTATAATCTGGACAGCGTCCGAGTTGTTGAGAGTGCCCCTTTAAACTGTAGGACTGCAATTGATCTCTGTATGTTTTCTGGTATTCGTCTCTTTGAAAAGAGTCAAAAATCATTGGCTGTACTGTGGAGCTGTCACATTTCAATACTGAAAAGGTACAGTGCAAGTGAATTTAAGCAGTCTTTGGCATTCTTTTCTGTATCGCCAAGAGCTTTGAGAATGATGAACCAAGGAAATGCTTTATTTTGGGCTAAGTGAGATACAGATCCCTTCAGTCTGACAGCGTTTCAGCCTCCGGAGTGAGGAAGCAGCAGAAACAGAAGCAGCAGAAGCAACAGCAGTAGCAGCAGCTCCAGCAGCAGCTCCTGCTGAAGTCCAACCACGGAGACCTGATCTGTACATCCTGGAACTCCGCCTGGGGTCGTGCACTGTCCAGGGTCCTGAAACATGAACCAAACTGCCAGTGTATCCCATCACATCAAATGTCAGCCTTCCAAAACAATCAAGGTAGGACCCAATTATTTTGTCTTCCTTCTGCTTTTGCACATGCACCTTAAATCATCTATCTAACACATGTTACCCTAGTGTGCAGGTCGCTGACTGTGCAGACACCTTGTTGATTTGAATTTGGATTGAAGACAGAATCTTAGCAAAATGTTTGGCTCTGTTTGCTTGCATATATAGACAGAAGAGGGTAGTTTGCACCTAGCAGTTGTTTTAGCCTGATTAATCTTGCTTTTTTTTGGATTGAGACTATTTTACTGGTTTATTTAACGTGTGAAAAAAGTTTAGTGAGCCTCTTGAAGAGTTTTTAGTTCATATCTGTGTTCTCAACGAATCTAGTGAGGGGTTTTGAGTAGCTAATATATCATTTTCAAGAGAAACATATCCCTGCTAGTGAATGTAGAGCTGATGATTGTACTAAAGTGACTATAGTGAGAATGTGTAGAAGACTGGATAAAGACTGTACAATGCAATTTTGCATACACCACCATGGAACTCAGGATTGGTAAGATGATCCAGGATGCAGTCCAGTTTAGGTGCTTGTTCTAAACTTGAGACATTTTGGTTGTGCAGGTTAAGTGACAATATAACAAACTCGTAATTCCACTATTTTGTATTTATTTGAAGTACTATTTAAGTCATCCTCTTTGCTCTTGTTTTGGACATTCTTATTTATAAGGATGTGTTCAAATGATCAACATTCCAGAAAGGCTTACTCCATGTTGCACCTATTTTAATTGGCTTACTTTGGGCGGGGGGAGGTGATTTTTTTCTTCTGGGAAACTTTTGTATGAAAAATCTTGATAACCTATTTGATCATCTTTGGTTAACACAAGCTGTCCTTCACATACAAATGTGTATCTCCTCATGAGATTCCAGGATTTGGGAAGAACTTTGTACGGTTTGCATTACTTTTTGCCTCACAATTCAGAACACTAATACTCTCTCACATACTGTAATTACAAAAGAAAAATAGTTTTCAACAATGTCTCTTTTTTTATGAACTTATCTTGCTGTTTTTTGGAGTCTTATATGATAAAGCTATCACAAACCGAACAATTTATTCCACTTGTTAGCATTATTTTTGAGGTCTTCAAGATACATCGGATGTTCCATAGCTTTCTATGGTATATAAATGTAAGAAATTCACTGAAGCCATGTAAAACCCAAATTCAGATAATTTACACAATCTTTCATAGCCAAAGCAGAGTCTATTTCAGCATTAGATTTTCTGTACTGTGTCCAAACTTAGAAAGAAAATGTTGAGCTTTAGATTTGTATTTTTCTTTATGTTAGATTCCCACATACATCAATTATATAAGAATATCACTATGGAAAAATGCCAAAAAGTGAATATATGTCATTCTACATTTTGAAATATGAACTCTTGTGGGAAATTTGTGTTGTGGTTTACAGTGGGATAGAATTACAGACAGGCCATCTACCTTTAAGTCTCTCTAGAAAACCCGAAAATGACCAGTGGCTTTCTGTTTAAGTGTTTGAGGTTATAGGAATAAAACACTTTATTTGCTGCTTTTGTTTCATTGGGTAAGCAGAAATAGATGCTACTTTCTGGGACAAAATCACTTTCCTTATTGGTGCTGATACTGGATGCTTTCACACAAACCATGGAGCAGCAAAAAAAAAAAAATGTTTTTAATGTAAAGGTTTTGCGTCATCTTGCTGATCTTGCTGATGTCAGTTTTTTATTTTAAATGCAGCCATTGAATTGAAATGAAAGGCATCATAAAAATTGGACATTGCACGACTTAGCACTGTATAATATTAATGACTTAATGATATAGCTTGAGTTAGAGCTCTGGGTGAATTAGTTAATTGTAAAAATTAAGTTCTTCTGTGTTCCTCCTAGGGGAGACAAAGATGCTTGTATTGTTCATAAAGTATGTATAGTTGCAAACGTTGAACTATTAAGGGAGTAATTACTTGAGTACTTTCCAATTTGCAACGGTAAATGGGATGAGTTGAGAAGCTCTCTTACTCCAAAGTATGTTCTGTTATGAAACATTTATGGCTTTTGGAATTTATGCTAAAAATGGCTATCTATATTTAGGTAAGGCATTAGCCCATGAATAAAATGCAATAACAACCTAAGGGAAAACCCTAAGATGAAAGAACTTTGGACATCTGTAGCGTGTTGGAGTTCTAAAGACAGAATTTTGGAACCTTAAACTTGCGCTTAGCTATTTAGAATTATTTTTATCCATCAGTTTTGATGTGACTATCCAATCATTTAGAACAAAACTCTTACATGGCATTTTTTTTGAACTTCAGATAATAACTCATTTTGGGTATCTGGAAGAATTCAGTTACTTACTGACCTATATGTCTCTCCATTTTAGAAATAAGGAAATTTTATCCTGTAACTCAGTGGAATAAACCTCTACAGAACCTTCCCCACTTAGAAGCTTAGTAAATAATGACTACTCCTTCTGATTAAAAATCATGTCACTACTGCGGAAAAACAATGCAATGAGAGAAAAAGTGATTTATATTTGCTAAAAATAACCTTAAATGCCAAAAATATAAAGAAGAAAGAACGTGTGTGTGTGTGTGTGTGTGTGTGTGTGTGTGCACTCCCCACTTGAAGTTTTAAACTTGATGAAATCTACTGCAGATCAAATTAAGCAGTTGCTGCCACTGGAATCTATCAGGTGTCATTCCAGTGTCAAAGTCAGAAAAGAAGAAATGAGGACAAGATGATCCATATCACTTGTGCTATTTGACATTCTGTGCTTGTCATTCTGGCCATTCTCCAACTTAAGCAGCTATTGAAGCATTTTCATGATGTACTTGAGCAGATATGTTCCAGTAGTCAACACTGATAAGAGAGAATGGAGCAGAGGTCAAATAGAAGTGCCAAGTGCATCCTAAGATCACTCTGGATACGACGCTAATGGCAGTGCACTCATAAAACCTGCTCCCATTTCATAACTTCTCAGGACTCAAAAAACAGTAAAGATTTTGCTGAAATGATTACAAATGTTGCCATAAAAAATGAATCTGTCACTCTGACATCTATGATGGAGATTTTAAGGGATTATCTGAGATAATGTTATATATAGATATGGACCTGGCATTGTTGAAAACTTGATTTGTAAAGAAGTGTCCCCACATGGGCAAACCAAACTTCTTGTTTTAAGAGTGTGCAGTAAGTTTTTGAAAGAAATATTTTTTTAATGAAATGACAAATTTGGAATGCTGTCATCAAAATGCAAGGAAATATAATTTTAAAATATTCTAATATGTTTAGCATTTGTAAATTGTCCAAGAAATGAAGAAGTATTCTGAGGTTGATGAGTCCTAGATTAGGAATCCTGTATGTTGTGCATTTTGCTCTGCAGGCCACATATGTGTTTTACTGTGTGCATGTGGTGAACCCTCCTTACCAGCCTCCCTTTTTGTCTTCATTCTTCTCAGGATCCACGTCTTCCAGCATCACTGGCTTGACACTCAGCTTACCGGTTCCACGTAGAAAACATTCCCAAATTTAAAAAGTGTTAGTTTCTTTCAACATAGTTCCGCTGATGAAGTTTAGCTTTTACATGCAATATTAAAGATTTTCAGGATTTTAGTTGTTTGTAGATTACAGTATTTTGAGATTAAAAAACATGATTTCATGATAACTGTGACTGTTTTTAGTATGTAATATAGTTGAATTTCCCTTAACCTGGAAGACTAAAATTTCATGTGCTCAAAAGGAAAAAAAAGGTATCTTCTTGAATGCTGGCATAATGCCAAAACCTGAAAAGTCTATACCTGACTTCAGGTTACATTAAAAATGCAATTAAAAACACTATGCAAATTTATTTTCAGAAAATGTGTAAAAGATGTGTATGAAACATAAATTAATTTGTTATGCTAATATGCCATTATGCTAATATGCCAAATTCCATCCTCTCCCTAGAAAAATTGGGACTCTGTAATATTTCTGTTTCAATAGTTTTGGATAAGGAATGCTCAAAACGTATTGATGAGTGGATGTGCTAATAATTATTATTCTTTCCTCATTCCTTCTAACTCACAACCTTATCCAAACTTAATAGTAGCACTGGAAACAAGATTTATACAAGCAGTGAAAAGGAATACTAGTTTATTGCAACTATGTTTTGCTAAGTCTGTAGGCTTGGAAGCATGGTTGTTAGAAAATGGTCTCTATGTTTAGAAAATTGATATCTGAAGTGTGACACTGATGACTAACATAGTGAGTCTGACTTGGAATGGCCTCCTTGGCATCTCAGGGGTTACTAATTTAATATCCCGACCTACAGATGGACACTCACATGTGTTTCATTCGATAGTTAAGATAGGTGACAAAGTAGTCTCAAAGAGTAGCCAGAGTAATTAGATACATAATTTATATTCACAGAGGCCAGAAGTACCACATGCACATAAGGAAAAATTTCACCACTTTATGTCAGCACAATGTGCAAAACGTATGATCCTCCTAACAGTGCTATGAGATTCCTAGTGCAACAAGTATAAGCTGCTTCATCATACAGCTTCTTCCTGATCCTAATGGTAGGAACTTCAGTCATAAAGAGAAGAAGAAATTTTGTTCAATGATTATCCCAGTATAAAGGTAAACACACTCACTATAAAACAGTTGGTGGTGACCATACAATTACTCAGTTCATCGGTGGAAATTAAAAAGAAGTGTTTCAAATATTAGAAGTGAAAAAACACTGTGTATTAGTGACAATTTTTCTGTCTCCAAGAAATAGTCCGTATCTTTAATTATTCTAAGAGTTTCCTTACATGCTGGAGGCAACATTACAGCATGTGAAAAACATAGAAATTCTGCTGATGACAAATTTTTAGTCATTTGCAATTTGCATTTATGGCCAAGTATTTAAGATTTAAATGATTATAGGACAGTTTTATTTTTTGACAATGAATTCAATTGTTTTAAAGGAAAATGTCAAAACTATTACAATTTAACAAAAATCATGTTATAATTGGACAATTTTCTACCTGATTAGCTT